CGAGAAAAGGTTTTTAAGCAAGGACTACAAGTTGCACAAAAGCAGACCTCAATTAAGGATTATTTTAAAACTACATAGTTAATCACATATGTACCTACATGTTAATCGAATACATTACATACATTGACTCCCTCTATGAAATATGTACATACTTTATTTTATTCTTTACCTATGACTTTTTCACTATAATCCAATAATCCGAACATTCCAATAATCCGGCACCCTCCGGTTTTTAATAGTGCCGGATTAGTGAGATTATACTGTATATATATATATATATATATATATATATATATATATATATATTTATATATTATATTTTCTTTAATGAGTGCATTTTCATGAACATTTAAAGCCATGAAAACCAATATAAATTTTCATTTTTTTAATTCTTATAATTTTTTCATAAATCCGCCGTAATAATGAATATTAAAAAAGAATTTCATCGAAATCGGATGATTTTTCGATTTTCTGGAGCCAAAAAACGAGTGGACCGCGATAGTATAAAATTACCAAATAGTTTTATTCAATGTTTAGTATTCAAGTAAATAACAGAAAGCATTAATTATAAAATTGTTACAATTAAAAAATATTATATCTATAACTTTTTCGAATTCAGATGTCATGTCAGTGAATAGCAATTTTGTGAAATGTTCGGGATACATCTACTATGTATTAAATACCTATGTATACATACTGTTACGCGCTCCAGTCAACGATACACTAGCGCCATCTAGTGTCAGGAACGAGAGCGAGGGGAGCATTGAGAAAATGACATCACAAATTACTCAACCGACAGCGCCTAGTCGAAACTCGAACGCTCGGTACCTTGCGCGTGTTTACTTGAACATTCTGGATATTTCTTTGCTAATTTAAATATATAGGCGCTGCAAGATGCGATCGAGGTAGTATTGAATTGGCGATACGAGCGAAGCTTCGGAGCGAAATTAAGTGAATTAGTGTGTTTAATTATTAGTGTTTTAAGATTTAATTTGTTTAAAGTAAATTAAAGTGTTAATTTAGGTAATTTTATCGGCAATTTTTATTGTCACGAACCTCAAGCTCGTAACAATTGGTGTCAGAAGTGGGATAAAATCATGCCGATTTTACCTAAGGAGGAAACGGAGGGTGTCCGTACCCGAAGTCAACGCCAGCAGGAGACGGACCAACGAAGATTTGGTAGTGCAACGCCGCAGACGTCGGAGGGCCAGCCACTGGCTGCAGGCCCGTCGGTAGCTCCTACATCTGCAGCACCTGACTTAGGTGCTCTGATGGTGATGCTGCAGGAGCAGGCTCGCCGACAGGAGGAGCAGGCTCGCCGACAGGAGGAGCAGGGGGCTCCGTCAGTTGAAAGAGCAGCTGCAGAGCGGACAAGAGGAACAGGCCCGCCGACAGGAGGAACAGGCCCGTCGGTTGGAAGATCAGCAGGCGGAACAGGCTCGTCGGTCGGAAGAGCAGATGCTCCTCATGAAGGACCTTCACGCTACCTTTGGGAAAGAGATAAGGGACGTGAAGGATAGGGTTGCTCAACACGACAACCGCCTGTCGGAAGCTGAAACCCGAATCGAAGAACATGAAACCCGAATCAACCATGTGAACAATCGGGTTGACAACGTGATGGCTGACGTGAAGAAAACGCTAAACGACCTCAAACTTGGGGATGGAACTACAGCTCCCGTAGTAGCTGCAGCACCTTCGCTACGTGGATTCAAAGTGCCGCCGTTCGACGGGACCTCTTCCTGGTCGGCCTACAAAATCCAGTTCGAGGCCGTCATGGAGGCGAACGGCTGGAATAAAAGCCAAGCCATGACTGCACTCACCCTAGGCCTGCGCGACCAAGCCTTAACTGTGTTGGAAGCTCTCGGTAAGAAAGTGACCTATGAGCAGCTTCTTGAGGCCTTGGAAGCGAGATATGGCGACGCTCATCTGGAACACGTCTTTCGCGCGCAGCTTAAAGATCGCGTGCAGCGCAGCAACGAGAACCTGCAGCAGTGGGCCCTTGAGGTGGAGAAGATGGTTCGAAAAGCATACCAGTCTGTACCTGCGCTCATTGAAGGGAACCTGGTTCAGACATTCATCGACGGCATCCGCGACCTTGAAGTCAGAGCTGCTGTGAGGCTCGGGCACCACGAGACGCTTAAGAACGCCTTGGCCCATGCACTGGAAGTGGAAGCCGTGCGGCAGGATCATCGTTCCCATCGCGTCAGGGAGGTTGCGGCAGCTACAGTTCGCGACCGCAACAAAGGATACAGCCCTAGGTGCTATGGCTGTGGGGGAAAAAGGCCATCTTCGAATCAGCTGCCCTAAGCGAACCGTGGAAAGGAGAGTTGATCGATCTCGAGAGGGTAGTGCAGCTAACGACACTGCCTGGCGGCGACAGGATCATCGTTCACCTCACGCTAGGGAGGTTACAGCAGTTACGGTTCGCGACCACAATAAAAGATACAGCCCTAGGTGCTATGGCTGTGGGGAAAGGGGCCATCTTCGGTCCAGCTACCCTGAGCACACCCTACGAAGGGAAGGTGAACGGTCTCAGAAAGGAAGTGCGGCTAACAGCACCGCCCAGCAGCAGCAGGAATACGACTTTACTATCAGACACTGCAGCGGGAAATCTCACGGCAACGCAGATGCATTGTCAAGAAGACCTTGTCCTGAAGATTGCAACCATTGTAGTAGGCAAGAGAGTAAGGAGGTGGTATCCGTGAGGATGCTCAGGACAGACCACCTCAGCAACGGGTGGAAGGACAACCTACGACATGCACAGCAGGAAGATCCGGACATCAAGCAGATTCTGGGATGGATGAAGGCCCCTGCTACCAAGCCTAAGTGGAGGGACGTCTCAGCGATGAGTTCAACCACGAAAAGCTATTGGGCCCAATGGGACAGCTTGCTGATTCAGGATGTAGTCCTGTGCCGTAAATGGGACAATGGTCGAAGAGACAGCTGTCGTTTGCAAATGGTTGTCCCTAAAACTAAAGTGCCGAATGTTCTACAGTTGTGCCATAATGGTCGTTCAAGAGTCCATCTGGGAGTTAAACGAACTCTACTGAAGGTCCGAGAACAGTTTTACTGGGTCCATTATCGTGACGATGTCGAGGATTGGTGTCGTACATGTACAAGTTGTGCGGCCGAGCGGGGACCTCGGACACGTAGTAGAGGAGCACCGAAATTGTACAATGTTGGTGCACCACGGGATAGGACAGCCCTTGACATTGCGGAGCCGTTACAGAAAGGCGCAAGAGGGACTCCTAAGATCGTCCATGTGAATCGCTTGGCGCGTTATTATGGGGCCGATAATGCTCGGGACGAGCATGTCTTAGGAGGGGGCAGTGTTACGCGCTCCAGTCAACGATACACTAGCGCCATCTAGTGTCAGGAACGAGAGCGAGGGGAGCATTGAGAAAATGACATCACAAATTACTCAACCGACAGCGCCTAGTCGAAACTCGAACGCTCGGTACCTTGGGCGTGTTTACTTGAACATTCTGGATATTTCTTTGCTAATTTAAATATATAGGCGCTGCAAGATGCGATCGAGGTAGTATTGAATTGGCGATACGAGCGAAGCTTCGGAGCGAAATTAAGTGAATTAGTGTGTTTAATTATTAGTGTTTTAAGATTTAATTTGTTTAAAGTAAATTAAAGTGTTAATTTAGGTAATTTTATCGGCAATTTTTATTGTCACGAACCTCAAGCTCGTAACAATACATACCATAGCAACTCCATTACCTACATGTATATATACCATAGAAACTTCATTGTATGTTCCATAACAACAATTTATTTATTTATTGCATTTACATGTGGTTAATATGAAGTGAAGTGAATATAAATGAAGTGGCTATGAAGGAAAATATATGAATAAAGTAATTTATATCCCAACAAGAAAAACAAAAACCTGCGCTATAGATGTTGCGCCATGAAATGTTTCATGTAACTAAATTGCACAGAACTAATTTCAGTTACATGCAAGATTTTCTGTTGTTAGTATAATAATACCAGATTAAAATTAAATAAAAACTATGTTCAACATTCTCAACTATTTGATGTTGAAAATATCTGGAGGATTGTATTTATAGACCATTCAATAGCATTGTGACCACTGTTATTGACATTATAGAAAAATCCTATACCTTTAAACGAGCAATTCTTGTATATATATAATCGGAATCTCTGAAACGGCTCCAACGATTTTCATAAAATTTAGTGTCCAGGGAGTTTCGGGGGTAATAAATCGATCTAGATAGGATTTATTTTTAGAAAATGTATTTTTGTCCGTGTTTTCAGGCAATGAAAAACTGCTAAAATATAAGAAGGCAAATTTTGACACTGTGTTAATGATCGTAATAGCTCAAGTGGATTACGAGCGGTCGCAAAATCATAATGCCTTGGTTCGCATCATGTCTTCGGTCCAACTTTTTTCCTTTTTTTTAAGTTCCCTTTTTTTGTGAGAAAATCTATTATTTCGAGCCCTTTTTTTTAGTATGATTCTTTGTCTGACTCATGATTTTTTATTCAAATAACCAGTTCAGTTTTTTCTATTGTGTCAATAAGATCAAAAAATATTATTCATAATTCATCAGTATGTAATTTGTATCTAAATATAATTTCAAAAAAATCATCCAGGTACTGAATGTTTTGCAAGCTTTGATAAAAATTGGCTATTATATGAAATTGCCGTGGCTATTAATATGTTGTTAAAATTAACATTTAAAAAAGAATTTTAATATATACATTTGACATAACATTGATTTAACATGGTATTTTTTTTTAAAAAACACAGTTTCCTTAGTCAGTTTTGGTCTTGTTTTTGCAAACTAGTGTAGATTTTGATGTTTATAAGAGCCTTGTACAAGGCCTATATGAAGATAGTTACTGACTTCACTAATATTCATTCAATAGTAAAAATAATCTGCAGGGCAACCCCCACCAAAAGTATTTAGGTTTCAAGTTACATGCATAATATTATAGTAAAATTGCTCTGTATATAAAGATAAGCGTTACCTGTATTGGTCGACAGCCTTATTAGTTAATTGAATAGATAAAGCGTAATCGTCCAACGCGCCGGGGCGCAGTTCGAACTCCAGGCGTCGCTGCTTTATGGGTTCGCCTTCCGTTCGTAATTCTGATAATTTGTCACTATACACCTTTAAAACAAAATAATTTTTTCATGGTAAATTTGTTAAGTAATGTCTTCTTTCTATATTTTGTATCTTTTATATAAACTTCATCTTCATTCATCTGTGAAAACTTCTAATAGGCTTACTTTGTAAATTACATTATATACCATTTAGTATTAATTAAAAGCTGTAAGTTTTCCTGTTATAAATAAATAAATATAAAAAAGCTCTAAAGCATTTTTTTTTTTGTAAATATTGAGCAAAATTATGTTGACAGAATTACAACACAATTACAATATAAAGTGTTAAAATTTTTAACATCATTCATGTGTCCCCAAATCTCAGTAGAGTTAGCAATGTTGTCATTTTATAAAATAATAATAATATACTTATATCCACATATAAAAGAGAATGTCCTGAGTGACTAACAACGTACAGCTCAAACCACTAGACATAGTAACCTGAAATTTGTTCAGTCTCAGAGAGAGCCTTTAATGATGAAGGCATTTCACTAAGAATATATTTTTGAATAGGGTGTTACAGTTTTTACGGGGCGGGGTTTATTTGGCTTGAAATTTACTGAAAGTTATCTGTAATTAAAATAAATGATTGCGTGTTTTGCCATTTTTCGAAACAACCTCATGCGCGGCTTTCATGTCATGTAAGTCATAACTGTGTGGATGTTACAACTTGGGCTCGAGTGACACCGCGGGGCGAAAATTTAGTATTACACAAATGCATTTAATAGAAAAAATTGTCATAGGTGATAGCTATTTGAAAGAGCAATAGAAGCCTATTTTGCATGTTACCCAACACACACTTGGGCAATTTTTAATACTTTCTTAACATTGTTGTTGTATTGTAAATCTGTCAACATCATTTACATCTTGTTTACATTACCTACTATAAATTATGATATTTCAAAAGTATGCTTGATTGCAAAATGTGGTGTATGGAAACTAATAAGCATTTTTCATACATCAATAGATGTGCATAATAGAAGATAGATATGCATAATTCTATATCTAAATCAAAACTAATGGCTAGGTGATGCTGCAAGACATTAGGGCACACAGATTTAAAAAAATAGATTTTTTTTGTGATATTGATAACCAAGAAAAGGAATAAATTTTGGAAATACAATATTATTTACCTGTCTATTCTGGTCCTCACCCTCATCATAGAGCCATTGCTCAAGCCCATCAAGTTGGTTTACAAGTCGGTGACGCTGTTCGTCCGCAACAAAGTCATGTAAAGTCTCTCCTTCAGAGAGCTTTCCACGAAGCTCATACACATATTCTTCAAGTGCGTTACGAGCGTCTGCGCGTTCTTTCTCCTGTCTATCCTGTGCTTGCATTTTTCCCTGTACAATGAATATTAAAATCCTTTACCTTAAGCTTTTTAGCTAATAATATTCAAAACAAAATTTAATCCTGATAATATGGAGCCATGGTAGCTAGGATGCTTAACACTTGCTGTAAATATAACAGAACGCGAGTAACCCGGGTTTGATCACCGCCGGCACCAATGAAATTGTTAATTTCAATTTTAAGTGCTGATTTGCCACGTGCTCGGCGGTGAAGGAAAACACATGACGCGTGACACATAAGGAAACCTGCATTTCTGAGGAATAAAAAAAAAAATATTTCGAAGACATGTGAAGTTCGCCAACACGCGTTGGGACAGCGCGGCGGACACTTTCTTGCCCTAAAACCCTCTCAGAAATGAGGGGAGGCCTGTGCCCAGCAGTGGGACGTATATAGGCTGTAACTTTACTTTTACTTTAATATGGAGAATTTAAAATATCATGTTAATCATATAGACGGTAAAAATAAAAGGTTGTGGGTTCAGATCTGCCATTCAACTAACATAGCAAACTACTCCTAGCACAAGAATTTACAATTTTGTCGCTTTGCAAAGGTTTCTTTCTTGTTTGAAGAAATCCGTAGTTTCCATAATCCATAAACACTCACGCCTGTCACCCAGAGGGGTAGGCAGAGACTACAGATTTCCATTTGGCACGATCCTGACACACCTCTCTCGCCTCCTTCACATCCATACACCTACGCATACATGCTCGTCGGTTAAGGATACTCCTAATTTGGCCCGTTTCCAATAAGTCACCAATTTGGTCGATAAATTTTCGCTTAGGACGTCCCTTTCCGACTCTGCCATTCACTTCTGCAACATAAATTTTCTTTGTCACTCTTTCCTCATTCATTGTTTCCACATGACCAAACCACCGAAGCATTCCTTTCTTAATCCTGGTCACAACATCATCTTGCAAACCACACTCTTCTCTTATTACACAATTGTGTGTGTGTGTATCCGTAGTTTCCTGGACTTAAAATAGGGAAACCGAATATAACTATCGTAATTACCTCTTGCTCCATGTAGGTGTTGACATCTTGCTGTGAAAATCCATGGGTTCGAGAATCGATGGGCAGCTCTACTGTTTTCACAAGCACTTTTTTTGACTTCTCCTTAGATTTATCCTTTTTATCATCATTACTTTCCTGTAAGCAAAGAGTACTGGTTCATAACTTTAAAAATTAAGCATTCCCCACCACCGCTTCAGCTTGGAATAATTGCATTAATATAAATAATACAAGATCTAAAATTTATTCAGCAAGTATTCATATCCAAGCGATGCGATGACCCATTTGCACCTAAATTAAAACCACCATAAGCAATAACAACCAATAATATCATAGAACTTACATGTTCCAATATTTCTGTTAGAATAGAATCAGGAAAAATAAACCAATAATTGCGGGAGTAACAAAAACATGCGTGGACACAGAGTAATGTTGCTGTAAACTTCATTAAAACAAAACATGTATCTTCAAAAGGAATTAAAAGCCTTATGAGAATACCGTGCAAATGGGGCCTCATAATGAGGGTGGGGATGATGCATAACTGTGATGTATGCTGCCTTTCTCAATGTTGTAAAAAATGGACCATCCTCAAATACATCATGATTTAATGTTAGTACTACCATTGAACACTTATGCACAAACTTTTTAAATATTTCCAGGAATGACACAGTATAAAACAAATTAATTCAATGAATCATTCAAACATAATTTGGTATATTATAGCCTAGGAATTAAAACAGAATTGGGAAGACATTTTAGACATACAATACTTCTATTCTGTTTTGTAATAATATGGTAGTATAACTGGCAACAAACATCACAATCACTCCACAAACACTACCGAAACATACCCCGCTGAACCACTGTCCTACTCTCTGTGTCCACGATTGTTTTTGTTGCGGCTCCCCCTTCATTTCATCTTCTCTCACCTCTTGGTTATCTGGTCCATTTTGTTGTTGCTCTTGAGCACCACCATTAGTATCCATTGGAGCCTCTTGGCTGTTCTGATTATTCTCATTAACATTCTCCATATCTACATTTTCGCTTTGGGAAGAATCCTGTTTCTTCTCCACAAGCGATGCAGAGGCAACTGTTATGATGCCATGGATGTTTACTCTAACTTTAAGTTTTACTTTCTGTGATTCTCCTTCTGGAGTTGGTTGGACATCTCGGATGTGCCACTGACCTAGTTTGACAAGTAATCATTATTCACATATATTATATCTATTTGATGAACAAACATCTTACACCCTTATCAAAAATTTTACACTTTTAACTTACCAATAAAGGTGTCTGGATAGGGTACTTGGCCAGAGTAATAAGCACTAACTGAAAATGGTTCTTTTCTGTAGAAACTCAACATCTTTGAAAATGGAGCAGCATGGAAAGGTGGGAAAATCTGTAATATCAAAATAACTAATATAAGAGAGATTGTTAAAGTACATTGGATATTTCACTTTTATAACATGAAGTTATTTGGTTTAAGTACATATTTATATATTACATTTCAAAATTAAGTCTTTATAATTAAATAATTTTATACCAGGTCAATGAGAAAAAGGAATAGTGATCAAAAAAAATCGATGGAAGTAACTTCTAAATAAAATGTGCTATAAAACTGTAAAAAATTACAAGTAATATAAAACAATTTGATTGGATTGGTTTTGATTAAGCAGACAAAACAAAAAATTTTAAATAGATTACAGATTGTACCTCCATATCACCGTCTTCACCACGAGCAGCATCCCATGCAAGACGCACAGCGTAAGGTTGCACATCAGTAATGCTGAATTCACGCACACGAACAGCAGGGCTCAACATAGCACACTGGAGAGCTGCACCTCGTGCTACAGACTCATCCTGAAATAAAAACAAAAACTTTTGGTAAATTGCAATAATTGATATTTCATGCCACAAACCCTTTCAATATACCTTTCTCATAACTTTCTAAATCATATTTAAATTGTTCATTACATGTCATGCTACATACGGTATATATGTGACGACTAACATTGTTACATAATCGGCACAATATTTGACTTTATTATTATGTGTTAGCCTGACTGACTGTCTTCAAATGTTTCAGTTTTATTTCCATTTTCTTTTATTTCTATTTCCATCGTTTTTATCTTATCATTGTGCGTTTGAAGCTTTGTATTTAACGGATGATTAACTAAAATCCAACTCTGTTTTAGACATACCGGGGCCCTTGGGCACACAAGAATTTGGGGCCCAGTTGGAAAGTAAAAACAAGTGAATGACAAAGACATTTTTCTGCTACATTAATGAGGACATCCACGATTTTTTCTGCCACCAGGGCGGTGTCACTTTAAAACGAGGTAAAATATTTAACAGATTTCCTAGCGGGGACGATAATTTCTTAGGAAAGTATAAACTTTAATGATTCAAGAAAAGAAAATATTGTATATCAACATCAATATGTGTATTCTTTTTATTTATTACATTAAAATTTAGGCTTCACTTGTCTAAAAATAAGACTCGTAACAATTATTTGCTATAAAATCTAATATTTGTGGTTGAAAATTATCATATATTAAATAAATTTTCTGTGGTTAAATCTTTTGTAGTGTTATTTTTATTAAACAGTACGAAATTATATTTTATTTAATAGATTATAAATACATCGATTGCCGAAAATTAAAAAAAAGCCAGGCTATATAAGTAAGGCGACTGTACAGCCCGACAAAACGTTTAGAAGGCGGCGAAACGCGGTATTACATATTTTCTACCTAGGAAATCTGTCAATGCCACTTCTTTCGGTTAGCTCAGTAACATGTAGCTTGTCACTGCCCAGGGTTGCCAGAAAGTCACTACCAACGCCCTCATTTACTCTATAACATTTTTTGTCAGGTTATATTTTCCTAAAATAGAAAAAAGATTGTATAGCGTAAGCGAATTAGCCCCCATGTACTCCTTTGGTAAAGATGGTACTGCTAAAATCCTGTAGTTCTTGATGGGTGACTACCTGTTCTTATCAAGTGCCTTCTTGTTCTCAATGGGTGGCTTTCAACTCTTTATGAGCTTCTTGCCAAGTGACTTGTTTCTCGCTGAGCGGCTTTCTGATTGATTGACCTAATGGCAGCCAATAATGCAGCCAGTTTCCATCCATTGCTGACCCTGAAGGTGTTATTACTTCAGGCGTCGGGTCCTGAGTCAGTAGTATGGCCCTTGGACTCCTCCGGTTTCTGTGGCCGTGATACATCATCTCCATTTGCCTCCTCATGCACGCGTATACTTTTCTTCTTAAAATGCTTGCTTCGGCAGTCCACTTTAATTTAAATTGCTGTATTATGTGGGTACCAGTATACGGAGGGTGAGTAAAAATTCTGATAATCTTCCACACACTCATCACCAACTCTTCACAATAAAAATGTAGATATAGGTGGGGGTGATGTGAGGCAGCAGAATATTGATGTCATGCTGCTAAGCAGTGCTTTTCTTCCTCACATTTTAATTCACAGGGGAAACTTGTTCATACTCATAGTTGTATACTCATACTATTTTCATAATAGCTTTTATGTACACATTCTTCTCTTTATTGCTTTTTATATTTCTGTTAATAATTTGAAATATGAAATTTGTCACATATATTTCCTTTAATTATCACGTAAATAAGAAAAGCATTATAAAATTTTTGAAAAATCACGAGGGAAGCTGTCCTCTCGAAATTTTCCTTAACAGCCAAATATGTGGCAAAATGTGCACTTAAAATTGCTTAGCTTGTGTTTTGTGAAATTTACAGCAAGCACTTAGCTTTTGAGCTAAAACTTTTTTTGTTAACATTTATGTTATAACTACCAATAAAATTAGCACAAACAAATTTAGTGTCATACCTGATTCAAAGTAGTAGAAGCGTGCTTTCCAAATACTTGTTCAATTAAACTCTTAACTGCAGGGATTCTGGTAGAGCCACCCACAATTTCAACTGCATAGATATCCTCTGGTCGTAGTTCTTAAAAAAGAAAAGATGTTAATATACCCTGTCACATAATGTGATATGCTACAAATGATATTGGTATTGAACAATTTAAAACTTGACAATGTTTAACTTTGCCTAAAACTATAAGTTTAGTGAGTTTATTTAAATTGAAGTGATATGAAATTGACTACTCACTAGCATTATGTAAAATAGCTCTTAAAGTTCTTTCAACCCTTGTAAATGTTTCACTACAGAGCTGTTCCATTTGTGATCTCTGCATATCACTGGACACATCACGCTCCTCCATGAAGCATTCTATGTTAAGCGGCAAACGGGTGCTGTTTGCTGACATTTGCTTCTTCAATTTCTCAACTTCTTGCAACAGGCGTAAAAAGGCCCTGTAATACATATGTATATAGGTATATACATTGTACATATAATAATGAACAAAGAATAACAATAAACAAGATTACTAATATACCTCTGATTTTTCTTAGGATCCAATTTAAACCGTGTTACAAAGTCTTGACAGAAATATTCAGCCAAAGCCATATCAATGTCTCTTCCACCACAGTACGGATCAGTGGCAGTAGCTAGAACTCGAAGTTTACCTTTATTAAAAGCACAAGCTGCTACCTGTCCAAAATATAAACAAACAATTAGGCCAATTAGAAATAATTGATAAAACTCTTATATGTAACTGTAAAATACACACCTGAAGTGATGTGTAACCAAAATCAACAAAAACAACATTTCGAGCCTTCTCTTCTGGAGCTGGCAGATCTTGCTTGTAAATACCATATGTAAGAGCAGTAGCAGTAGTTTCATTCATAAGGCGCAAAACATTAAGCCCTGTAATGCAATATACTCCAATATACAGTTGTTAAGGACTGAGTAAACTAATTTATTCATTAATGTTGAGAAGGGAGGTATAGTGGGGTGGCGGTTAGGGTGGGAAGGGTGCGGTCCCCAGTAACCTAAACTTTTGCTCATCATCTATTAGTTTACCTAGTAAAGGTATACAAAAACATCTTATTAAAAAATAATCATTCACCCATTCATTTCTCATTTCTTATAAAAAGTCCCATAGATTGCACCATAGAGGGGATATGTTTGGCTATCAACATAATTGTGCTGCGGAACACTAAAGAATGCCCATAAAAATTCCTAATCTACAATGTGTTCATTTCATGAATGCAATAGCTCTCACGGCACTTCCTCATACCGCAACTCAAGCATCAACTAATCAACTACCACCAGAGATTTTTCCAGACCAATATGATTTAGGGACCTTCAAGAAAAGAGCCTATTCCTTTTTAAAAGGCTGGCAATGCATCTGCAATCTCCCTGGTGTTGCAGCTGTTCATGGGCGGTGGTAATCACTTACCATCAGGTGAGCCGTATGCTCGTTTGCCCCCTCTCCTATATAAAAAAATCCTCCTTTTAGTACTGAAAGCTACTCTGAAGCATATCTATGTCTGTTATTTGTGCTTCCGTATGATATCTAGTTTGTTACTGTTTTTGATATCATAGATTTTTTGTTTCTGTTGACTTTTTACATGCGTTAATATGTGATAAACAGAATATGGAGTGATACAAAAACAAACAATTTCGATGAGAAATAACTGGTAATGTAGTTATGGATGTGTAAATATCTACCTACCAGTTTTTGTCGCTTCTTCATAAATCATTCATTTAAAACATTTAATAAAACTATTACAAAAATATTTTATTTTATTAGACACATTCCTTTAGTGATGCAACGGAAGTGCCATATCGGAAGCAGAAACGGAAATAATACTTATTAAAAAATTACAAATAAAACTTTTAATTAACATTCAAAATAAGTAGCGGTAAGTTATATTTTATGAAAAGTAGTTCGGCCACTTTTACACCTAACAATCTGTTGCAGTGTTCTTCACTGGCGATTCTAATTGGTCACTGGCGATGCTGCGTACCACCTATACACCAAAGCTAAATAGGCACTGAAATTTGGGCAAACCCTTTAAAGAGCCACATTTAGGTTTAGCGAGTAGGTAATTTAGTACAGCCCTATTACAAAAGCACAACGTAAATAAACTTTGAATCCAAAATACTCACTAAAGTTTCTTTAAAAATAATTAATATAAACTTCAAGTAAAAAATAAATAATATAAACTTCACGCAAACATAACTGCTACCTAATTAATTTGCAAATGTAAGTTGTAACAAAGGCATTTATTAAAAACTATTTTTAACTGGAGAAAACCACGACTTTAATTACTAATTAACTAAAAATACAATAAATCTATTTATATGGATGCGTCGCTGAGTTCCGTTCAAAATTCCGTTATAAAACTTGCGGAAACAGAAGCAGAAACGGATGTTAAAAAACATGCAGAACTTCCGCAGTTGCAGAAACAGAAACAGAGACATGTTGCATCACTACATTCCTTATTCACTGATATTATTTTACTTTACTAACTAAATAAGTCATTTAATAATATGCATTTTATCTACTTGCTTGCCCTCCATTTCTCTGTGCAGGGCAACAAACTTAAAATCGAACTCCTTACACAACTAAAACACTTGTAATAACAGTTTTGTTTATGGTTTCATCAGCTGTAACATCATAACGGTCAAGGATGGCACACTCAAAATGAATGCATAAATTATTATTATTGTGTTATTAATCTTAAAATGACAATACCTAATTATTTTTTAATAAATATGTATCTCTAAAATAAACAGCCATCTGTTTTTACATTATCAAAACACTTTTGCAATCAATCACGCAATTAAGGTGTAAAATGCTAACATAAATGAAATAGTAGAGTATATACTATATACAAAAATTGTAAGATAGTTTAGTTTTAGTTTTTAAATAGTAAAATATTTAAAGTTTTACTTTATATCACGTATGAAGATCTTAAAACCATATGATGCTGACACAATAATAATATTTTAATACGAAAATAAACCTAGGAAATTCAATTTCTTGTTAATTCCAAAAAAGTTTAACATATTTTATTTAACAAATTAAAACTGTTACAACTGCAAATTTAACAATTTAAAGTTTTTTGTAACATCATTAGGAAAAATAAATGGGTAGGGTTTACAATTCGGTCGCCCGAATTTGAAGATTCTGTCACTGTGGGGGGGTCAAGGGTGTTTATCTGAAGCACCCCCACTCGATTTTTGCTGCCGGAGCAGCGTCAAAGTATTTTTAAAATTTTTTAAAAATATTGGTAAATGACTAATTAATTACGTTTTTGACATTTCATATGTCAATGTCATATCGATATATAGTACTGAAACGATCTAGTGAATCGATGTTTCACCCTAGAGAATCGAGATTGAATCTTTTTCTGTTTTATTAAGATTTGTAAAATTATTTAAAATTAGTTGAATGTACCCAAACTCGTAAAGAATGACAGTTTTTAATTCAACCATTCAACGTTATCTGTACTTTGTTATATCTTTTGATATTGTAAATATAAACTTTTAACACAAATCAAAAAAAGATCGATTTTTGCGAAATCGAATGTTTGTGAATTGATTCATCCAATTTCGATTTGAATCTATTTTAAAATGTGTAAAATTAATCGCTAGGCCGGCCATTTTGTTGACAGCTTTTCGTCGTGCCATTGCTTCAGTTTCATAATTTTGGTAAATAGTGGAATATTTGTGGTGGCAGAATACTGCTAAATATAGCAAAGATCCTTACTTACATATAGTGGCAGCCATAAATTATGTTTATAAATTAAAGTAGTAATAAAAGTTAATATTTTGGTGTTATATTAAGTACAATAGCGAGCGAAGTGAGCCTAGGACGTGGGGCACCCCGACTCTGACAGGTTAGGTTAGAAGGCTCCGTCGACTGGGCTTCCCTCTACTGCACCATGTTAAGTGGCGTGGGGCTTCCATCCCCCAACTCTCTCTCCCCATAAATCAGGTTAAAATTGTCATAAAAATTACGAAACATAACCTCAAAATAAGATTTTAAAAATTTATAAAAAAAACTAAGCATGTCCGGCAGGAAGGGAATGTAGGGGTGACTCTACAACTCTTCCCCCTCCCCCACCACACCACCCCCACCCCCTAATTCAGGCAACCGAATTGTAAACCTTACCCAAATAAATATACAGGACTTACCAGCAATTGCAGCAGCATCCAAAAGAGCATTCCTTTCAGCATTTGTAAAGTAACTTGGCACCGAAATCACACAATCATTAATCTGTGTTTGTAATGCAGTAGCTGCAATGTCTTTCAACTTTGTGAACAACATTGCAGTGATCTAAGGAAAAATAACTTTATGCAATAAATCTATATTATTAAGTTGATACATAAAATTCCAATTACTTGTGTTGAACTTAGAAACAATAAAAAATTGCTCTTAGCAACTAAAAAATTTCAAGGTCTTAAATGTCAACTGCACAGCCGCATTTATAACCTAATTTGAATTAAAATCTTGTTCAAATGGGTATTTAAAGTAAGTCATGATTATATAACTAAAATGAAATTATTTTGCAACTTAAACAAAATATAGTACCTGTTCAGGACTAAATGCATTGTCTTCACCTAGATAACTGACCCTGATACCAATTCCGCCATCTCCCCTCTGTTCAACCCTGAATGGAAAATGTTTTAACTCTTTTTGAACATGTGGATCTGAAAATTTCCGTCCCAAAAGCCTCTTGAATCCAAAAACAGTATTCTTCATATTTGTTACCATTTGATTTTTTGCGGCCACTCCTATAATTCGATTCTTTGGTGAAAATGCCACACATGATCTAAAATTGTAAAAGTAAACCTTTATCAAATATACATAATATTAACGTGAAAAGAAATCTTCTAGAAATTTTAACTGAAAACGATAAAAGGCTTAGTCATTGTTAGTTTGAGGTGAAGATGTAAAGTTCAATTACAAGTACAATGGTTAATATTTAAAGACTGTAGTAACAAAATACAATTAAATAAATGTGGCATTATCGTATATTTCACGATATAGAAATGTAATTACGAGTATGGTTATTAACGGTCTCTTACATAGGACAAATTAAAAATACTCAGTTATGTCAAAATAACCAAAAAAGTAAAGAAATAAGGCGTAATGTAACTTTTATATCACAACTCCATCAGAAGTAAAAAGATTACAGAATATTACTTACGGAGTACCCCGAAGACTGTAATCGTTGGCTATTGTCTCAATGCCACCTGCTTTTGCTACAGCAATATAACACGATTCGTTACCAAAATCAATACCAATAACGGACATCGCTGCCATTTTCAGCACTAATCTCAGCTAAATCTCCGGCAAATTTTCGTTTAATTAATCACTTTCAACTAGCACGTTGTGTTAGAATAGAATGACAATCAAATCAGTCAATCAATCGCAAAAGAACGCCGGTAATCGCCAGAGCCAGACACAGTAGTACAGTAGTACAGGGCAGAGCGCTACAGATACAGACACAACAAGGGCATATACACTTATACTCTACTCTCTGACGAGGAGACACAGACGTTAGTTAGAGGAGGCACCCCGAATTTTCTAGAAGCACAGATAATTTGAATTGAATATACTGGGTAAATATTAGTTACCTGTTCCACCTGTTTCTGTTACTTTCTTATAACAGTTTTAGTAGCCTGTTCCAAAATAACCGTAGACAGAGATCTACGAAAATAACAGTCTATTATGCTCCTATTACACTACCATGAACCCTGAATCAGGGCCGTGAATGAAGAGTGGGCGTGGCCCCCAATTAGGGTCGTCAGTTACAGTTGACTCTCGTTAATTCAAACCTGCGATAATTCGAACCTCTCTATAATGCAAAGTTATCACGAGTTCCCTACAAAATCTCTTTATATTTAGAACTATAGTTTGTGCCAAATCGATTGAGAAAAACGAACAATGACTGTATGATGTAGTTATTTTCACGGTACCAGGTATCCTCGAATCAAATAAATTTGTTAAATCGGGAGCTGAAGAATCTTTCGTGTCCAGACAAGAGCAGCTCTACGGGTAGATGTGGGAGCAAGCGGACTATAAGTAAACCTTTTTACTCTCGTCGTGTAGTTATTTCCTGTGGTTGTTTCTTTATGGGCCTATGTCGTAACTTTTAAACTAAAATCGTTGAATGTTATTTGACTTCTACACAAAACTTGGCAGATATTTATTAAGTGAATATTATTACAGAGAAAAATATGGACTTAGAATGATATAAAGTACCTTATTAGGACCTTTCTTTTCGGGCCGTATATATTGTGAAGTAAACCTTCTAGTTCTATGATCAAATATCAAACAGTATAAGGATTTTGGCGGGAACTTGCCTATAGGCGGATTATTGCTCCTGTTTTATCGTTTAAATAATGGTTTGAAGTTGATTTTGATACGTAAAAATGATGTGATTTCGTGTAATAAGTGTCAGCGCATGTCAACTATTAAAGAAAACGATGAAACAAGTGCTTTGATGTTGATATATTCCACAAGTTATTTTGATCGCTTAGGCGCCTTATGAACTTGATTCACTATCATCATCGACTGTTCGCTTCGCTTCCGCTGAGTTGAGCTGTCGTAAAATCTTTCAAAGACTTCGCAATGTGAAGCATCAGCATATTGTGAAGAAAAACTATAAAAACGTAGATCCTGAATCACAGAACACAATTACTCTCTACTGACAGAAAAACGCCAACTTCATACTAAAAAACGGAAACACGTGTTTATGTGTACATACAAGCGCTACGGTGGGGACCTATATAAAACTTTTTTAGCGGGATTTTCAAATCTTTGCATTCTATTACAATATTCTTTAAGCTTTTTGTCCTCACACTTTAACCTCACAAACCAATTGGATTGATACCCATATATTTGATAGGTTTACATCAAAATTACTCAAATCTACCGTCGATTTATGGATAAGGAGTAAAATAAAACATAGTTTTAGTAATAGTTAAATTTTGTAATTTATGTTTCACTAAATTTTCAATTTTTCCTTTCAAAAACTTTTTAGGCATATATAACAGATTTTTTACAAATTGAACGTTGAATTCATAATGTTCTCTACATTTTAATAAAAGCTGAAATCAACTACAGTACCTATTGTGATTAGAAATTGTTTCTTCATGAGAATGAATAAATAGTATTTTATTTATTATATTTACACACATTTCCACGAATTCTATTAATTTTTTGTTGGCATAATTTAATCTATTGCTTTGTAGACAATATTCTCTGAACTGAGTGAAAATGTGTGGAGGAGTAATTTGTTTCCTAATCATAAACCTACACATATATGCACATGCTTGTTTCTCGGAAGTAGCAATGTTCTATATTTTCTATAGCATCAGTAATAATACTCTTCACTTCGTTTATACTGCAGTATTTCATGTGAGAACAGCTAGTAACTTTGTCACCAGATATCAAAAGTGATTGTAAATTATTAGTGTGTATCGTCTTCACAATTCCGATGGCGACCATTGTACTTTAAAGTTATAATTACAGTTTTTATTCAAGCTACAAATTGAGACACAGTGAGATAATAATTAAACCCACAACTATACCTAATGCAACTAAAACTATTTTCTATTACGTAGTGATTGAGACTCCTAGTTGGTAGACTTTGTATGCCAAGGCGATTTAAAGTATGACATATTTTTCAACTACGTTCATTGTGCGTCCTTCCTCCCTGAGACGGCGGATTGTTATTACATCCACAAAATTAAATATCTCTTAAAATTACTTCATGTCTTTGAAGTATTCTAAATGTGGACTTTTCAAAGTCATATTTGTGGAATGCTTCTTGTCCCGCCGTAAATCTCTCGAGTCGGCATTTAACGAATCAAACAACTGATCAATTTGATTAATAAAATTTCAGTAGCTACAGCTTCCGCAGGAAGTTCATCTGCAATTATAATAAGAATTACGTTCATCTTACAGTCCCAAGCACGAGTATAACATAATTAACAAATTATTAAACAGTTTGAAAAGGAAAGTAAATAAAGGTGCTGACTTAAAGAAATTTTTGCTAGTATACCAGCAGCCACAGAATGTCTGAATATTGGCGCAGCAAGTTTCACACGCATTTTCTGTTTGTTGTTTGGCGAAATATGGATATCAATGCAGGAGCATAAACAAAGTAAATCGTAGAAATTTTAAGTGTGGCTCCATTTAGCTTTACCTGAAAAACTCATTATGTTTACTATATATATTGTTTACCACTATTGAAAGCGGATCGTAAAAGTTCACTGCTAAACATGAGCTACTCCCTTTGTAGAGAGGATTTCACAAAAATTCGTTACGCTTGGCAGATGGATTAAGAATTGTAATACTATGCGTTTTTCAAGAGCCCTGAACTAGACACCGTTATCTTAAAAAGCACATGTCCATCCATGGGATTAAGCAATTTAAGGATGTGCCGGTTCTGTTATTTATACGTTATTTTATAGATTTTCCACTTATAGATTTTCCACTTGAATTAGATTTGCTGGGCACATTACATAATGCTTCATAAAACGATTTTTGAAGCATTTCAAGCTGGGGTGGGTCTAATATGTATAAATGTTGTATGAATAACTATTGTATTCATAACATGGGTTGTCAGTTACGGAACCAAGTACATCCAACGCTCTTATATTTTTCGTCTAGAACGTAGAATAAAATATGTACATATTTACGATTGAGATTTTGCATTTGCATAGGAATGTATATTAATACATTTTAAGGGAAAATATTTTAAAAGTACCTCTTTAATCAAAGTGGCTTTTCTCTCAGCAGTTGTGTAATTTCCTGACAAATAATATGCTATTGCCCCATTGCCTAATTCCATTTTACCCCTATTATACTACCCCGAATCAGGGTCCCTACGCACTGATTCAGGGTGGTGTAATAAGAGAAAGGGAGTAAGGGTCGTGGATATCCTGCCGGGAAGGTAAAGGTTATTTTGTAATGGAAATTATTTTATCGGCTTACGGTACCTACTTCTCATTTCGTTACAATCATTTTTCTGAAATATTGATTTTTATGGATGAACGGTTATTCACCTGTTTGTATTTCGGTATAGTTTCGTAGATGTATTCAGAAAATGCGATAATACTGAAGGTAACATATGGAACTACCATAAAAAATTAACGCACCACATCATAAGAAATAAACCTAAAGCAGAGGACGAGTTTCATATTTTACATGTGAGATGGCATTAAAGGGTTATTTCCCGGACTTCATAGCCTAGATAAGATCCATTTGCCCATCGTGGCAACTTTGGTATCCCGTGCATAAAACATGTCGCAAACTGACTGTTTCATACCAGCCTCATCGATATCGATGTTCTGTGACATACCAAAGTATCGGTATGTTTCAGCCTCGGAAAGGATCCTTAAGTTGACGGGCATAGATAAGTCTATGCCCTCAGAGTTAGCAACCCTTCCCCTTTCAACATGGAGGACCGCACACTTATCCGTCCCCAGCTCCATTCCAATAGAATTGCTAAATTCACAAGTGATGTTTAGCAATTCCATAAGGTAGGAGCGACTGGAGGTGAATAACTTGAGGTCATCCATATAGAAAAGGTGGGTCACTTTTGTCCCTCCCTTCCGTAGCTGAAATCCCCTCCCGGAGCCCTCCATTAAGGTACTGAGAGGGTTCAGAGAGAGGCAAAACCAGATTGTACTCAGACAATCGCCCTGGAAGATACCCCTTCTTGTCCTTATGTGGTTCTCCGCAGCCATCATCCACTCGCCCCGATAACAAAGGATCGTACTACACTGCCCCATACACTGCCCGAGAAAGTCTCTTACTGTACAGTCAATCTTGTACAGTTCGAGGACCCTCTTTAGCCATGTATGGAGCACCGAGTCGAATGCCTTTTTGTAGTCTATCCAGGCGGCGGAGAAGTTCCGACGGTTGCGTTTCACCACTTTGCCAATGACCGCGTCAATGAGGAGTGGTTCCTTAGTTCCACGACCACCACCCCGACGTCCATTTTGACCGCGTGACATCACCTGATTTAGCTCTAGGTGACGAGTGATTCTCAGGCTCAAAATGGATGTCAGTGTCTTACATATGGTGGGTAGACACGTGATGGGGCGGTATTTGCTCGGATCTGTGGTATCCTGATCTTTGGGAACCAAGTGAGTGATCCCAGTATTGAAGAGACTCGGGAGCGACTCCTGATCGAGAGCCTCTTGAAACTGTCCGGCGAGCACAGCGTGACACACTACGAACCCCTTCAGTCAGTAATGATGCAGCCCGTCGAGCCCCGGACTTTTCCAAGTCGAAGCCCTATGGACCAC